GTATTCACTCCATTACACCGTCTAATAGCCAAAAACATTAAAATCATGAATGCAGCAGTACACCAGTAGTATAATTATCAGTGTCTTTGTCGTGTGAATTGCGGTATTTTACTACCTAGAGTAGTAGAATAGGTTAGACTTAATATGTGTGCTGTTATTAAAGTGTTACACTATATATATCTATAATAATATTGTTTCTACTGATCATAAGGTATGTGATTGATGAATATAGTACAAAATTAAGCTATTTTTAAAATAGCTAGTTCACTAAACAATTGAAAACATATGCAAATTACACTACACACCTAAGTGAATTATTTTACTTTGTTGTTGTATTGATTATACGAACAATGTAAACAATACTGCTGAACGATGCTTATCTTAAAAATCGATTTACGAGGACATGCACATGGCTATTTTTAATGTTTTGTTCTATTAAGTGTTTAATACTATTATTATTATTATTAGCACTTTACGACTTTGAGACACATAGCTATCTATCTTTGGCCATATATACACCTATGTTTGTCTCCCGTGTTAGGTGATTTACTATGGTCACATAATAATGTGGTTAAGTGCAGTGTGTTAGCTAAGGAGGAAGCTTAAATCGATAGGGTTATGAAGTTGTACGTCGACTGAAATGGCTAGGTTGTGTATGCTATAGCTGCTTGTCCAAGCATCGCATTTCTCAGTGAGCAATATTAGCTGATTTGGGGGACGCTAGGAAAGAGTTAGAGAGAGAGAGAGAGATGTGGTCAAATCAAACCTTGGCAACAATCAATACAGTCTTTGACTCTATTGGTTTACTCAGAAAGGGTGTAAACTACTTGTGTGTAGTCCTCGGGGTGCTAGAAATGAATTGTTGGGACCTATTTGGTGACATGACAGAAAATTGTTCTCGATAGTGGCACAGATGAATAATTAGTTTCTCTAATTAAGCCTTTGTGAATTGCGATTTCATTATATTTTTCTTTGTGTATGCTTTTACTAAGTGTTACAAAATTCTTGAGGTTATGAAAGCCAGTACTGTCCGTCAGGAATGTCTGCTGTCCTCATTTCTGTTCAGTTTCATCATAGACGTATTAATGGAATTGACCCTGACCTGACTTCAGCGGTTTAGGGATTGACTTGTTACCAGGGAAAAGTTTAATCATCATACTATAAGGATGACACTGTTGTCCTCGACGGATACTGATAAAATACAGAGTCTTCTGAGCAACAGTCTTCAAATATTGTGTATGCAATTTGCTCCTGTCATATGTAAGATGACGCTAGAGGGACTAGACTGCATTGGCTCACTCGTACCGTGAAGATGAGGAGAGTTAAATAGTAGACCGTGATGACCACTTCACTTATTTGGGGAATTGAATTACCCCCAGAGAGTTGATCGCTGACAAAATCTCAGCACGGATACAGAAGGCTCGTTTGGTATTTGTCAGCTATCTCTGGCTTAGTAGACGTGATATCTCCGGTTGGCTATCGACCAGAGGATGAAGTATATACTGCTCAGCAGCAGTCCGCTCTGCTCTCCTTTATGACTGTGACACATGGTCGTTGAAAGTGGAAGGCATGAAAAGGTGTGAGTTAATTCGCCTTTCCGCCTTCCATACTTACTATTTTGTTTATTTTAATTTCCTTCGAATTTCTTCATTTACTTATAAGTTATTGTGGAAAGGAGATGTGTAACGACAGAAGACAAGAGCCAGTCAACAGATCGTTTATTTACGAAATCAACACATATTTATAGATTTTCATGTACATTATAGATTATTGTTAGCACAAAAACACAGTCTTCTGATTGGCTTTTTCTCACAGAAAGTTAACCTTGCACCTCTTTGTGGCTGTTTCTTGAATGTCAGATCATCTATATGTTAAATGTATCCGCCTACGCAAAGTCTTTGTTCTTATTTTTCTCACGACCAATATTGGGGACATAAACATTGACGTAAATTACTGTCCACTAATTTTGACTAACAGCCAGCTCTCACCACAGATGTATGACTAGATTATTCAAAGTGTACGGTAGCATAGTTGCATGAAAAGGGTGAACCACTGGATTTTAATAGGTTTTATGTAGTTGTATTTTTTTTGTGGGGGGGAGGGGGTTTGTTTTTGAGTTCTTTTTACTTCTAATAAGGCTTCTAACACAAAATGTACTGTTGTGATGGTGTGATATTAGACAATTTGTTTCAATGGAATTTTATTCTCACTTATTCCTACAGTTCAATACTGCATTAGCAACAGAATACTATATGATGTATTTGGACATTCTATTTGAGGTCAGAGATAGGAGTACTTTTGTAACAACAGAAGACAAGGGCCAGGCAACAGATCGTTTTATTACGAAAATCAACACGTATTTAAATAAATTTCACATACATTATTATAGCCTAGTCAAGTAGACAAACGCAGTCTTCTGATTGGTTGTTTTCGAGTTCCTCGAAAAGTGGAGCCATTTATCTGCAAATCATATTTGCCCACGTTTAAGTTAGCTGTGATTGTTTGTTGAAACAGCCTTGATCATATTTTCTCAAGGCCCATATCAGTGACCTAGACATTGACGTAGATTAATGTCAACCAATTGGCTGGCAGGCTGCTCTCACCACACTTTTACACAGTAAATCTAATGAGATCAGATGTTATTTGTGCATTTAAGATAAGGTGAATACAGTGTGATCGATTGATGTAAATATTTTCTATTTACCTAGAAATGAGATAAAATTAGTGTGAAAGGTGATGTGACACGGACAGTGTGTTCTAACGGAATATTATTCTCACATATTTCCACGTTCAATCACTTGAAAATATACTATGGCTTACGTGTCTTGCCTTCTGCTGCTGCTGCTGTACTGTTATTACAATAGTTTTAAGTTGTTCAAGTTATTGATCTTTAACGTGCATCGGTGGCACAGCGGTTAGGACGCTCGCCAACCATGAACATGGTCCGGGGTTCGATCCCCGGCCACCGACGCACACCTTTACCTCACTAAGGCAGAAATAATAATGCTGGTAAGCAGGAAAGGTTGGGCATGAGGCTAGCAGCCCCATCCTGTAAAATAAATAAACACTGCTACAGAAAATTCAAACCTCTAGCTTGAAGCTCTATGTTCCACTAGGAAGGCGAAGGAATTAATAATATAATATAATAATTGGTCTTTAACAGTGGAATCGGTAATCTAAACATCTTGTGAAATTAATTTCAAGCTCCTTTGGTACACAATTAATGTAACAATAATAATAATTTGCTTTATTCCAAAACAGTATTTATGTGATACAGCATAGAATTCTAAGCATTTCGTACAAAATCACATCTAATTAACTCAACAGAATACACGACAGTGTATAGGTAAACAAAATTGATAACAGTAACCTTTTGGCATTTACAGATAAGAACAAAAATTTTTAAATTGATAGAAATGGTGTCAGCGTAAATTACAAATAGGAGAATATGAAAGAGACATTTATTTTGCTAATTACAGTGGTAAGTTATCAGTTTCACACGAGAGTGCCAAGGAGAGTATCGTTGAGCTGTTTCACCTAATTGTGAAAGCATATACTGACTTCTTCTCCTACCTGATGATGAGATGTATGCTGAGATGATGCAGTTATGAATAATGAAGGTGCTGTGAGGGTCAGACAACATGGATTTATAGTCGATTTGAAATTAATCAATAGTGTTCTCTGAGCTGGTTGGTTTAGTTGTGGAGCTTTCGTCGTCCCCTGCTGGACAACATCCCCTTTCAGTGCAACATTTAGCATAAAGTGAAATGATTTAAATTTCTCCATGAATGACAGAATTGCGTCTCCCGGTAACCATCTTTACATATGTATTGATCATTTTTTATTGAATTGGATTTTGAACTTTCTGGTCACATCATTTACTTTTTATTAGTTGGTAGATTTGGTCTATATTAACGTGTTTGTTAATGGCATATTCGTTTGAGTACCACGCTTCTAGGAATTCCCTGACTTCACTTTTGGTGTTTCCTCTGTCTAAAATTTCGACATTATCCCAGTTATCAAACTGATGTGCATAATTGTCTATATGCATTGATATGAAAAAATATATATCGTGTCTTTTCCCGGCTGATTTGTGTTCCTGGACTCTGATTCGAAGGGGACGTTCACTTTGGCCGATGTAATGTCTTAAACTGTTCATACATACAATTTGTTTTGTAAATGGTATTAATTTTATTTCCTTTTTCTGTTGGATCTTTCGGTTTGCATAATATCGAATTAAGAGATTTGACTGCCTTGTGTGCTATATCTATATCAACCGCTTTCAGTATTCTAGCTGTTATTTCAGAGATATTTTTCATGTATGGTAGGATGAATTTTCTTGTGGTCTTTGATGATGATTCCTTCCTTGTTGGTGTTTTATGATTCGACTTTAAACACTTTTTGATAAAATTTTGTGGATAACCATTCTTTTTGAAGACCGTTTGTAGGTATTTTTCTTTCATTCTTTTCAACTCTGGAGTGCTACAGTGTTGTGTTTGAATTCTTTTAAACAATTTAGTCGACTTGTTGTGCGAGTTCAAATTTCTGTCGATTAAAATAGCTGTCACACCAACCAACCTACTGACAACCTTTAATAATACTCTTCGAAATATGACATAGTGCTTTTTGACTAGTCGAGGAAAGATTAAGTTAGTGGAGCAGTAAAGAACAATGTTCGATTTTCATTTAATTTTAAACTAAATATATACTCAGAATTGAATTGGTGGATGGTGGCTAGCAGTGGAATCCAGCTTGATGCGCGTTTCGTCCCACTTGGGACTCGTCAACTAGATGCTAGCTAGCCGCCATCCACCAATTAAATTCTAATTACATGCTCAGACATTGTCGTCGAAGCATCTGCACAAGAAGCCGACAGACATGTCAACCTGAAACCGTGAGCACTTCGGTCCAATCACAATCGACGGGAAAATCTAAAATTCAATTAAATCACTATGTACTCATTGTCACATTCTTCTTATTTTTTTTTCTTTCAATTTTAGCTCGAGTGGAAGATAGTCCACCATCAAAAGCCGGTCGTATATTCTCCTTCGTTTTCTGGTTAGTCATGATCGGTTTTATTGTCGGTGGAGGATATTTCGGTTATCAGTATTACAAAAAACGTCAAAGACAAATGAAACGTTTCTACTAGGAAGGCGGCAATGTCAAGTCTTTTTGACATATTACCAGTCTTCTACTTCTTATCCTCCTTTTGTGTTTTTTTATATATTTGACCATGTATAAGACAGATTATTTTCTTAATACTAATAACAATAATACAAGAGTGTACAATATATTTGACATCTACGCTTTGGAAACACAATAGACTCGAAGAATAAGCTATCTACTCACCTACCTACCTTCCTGCCTGTCTGACTACATACTGGTTTGTAAACAACGTAATCCTTCTTTTTTTTCCATGTATGCACACATTCATTCTTCAGTAAAAATCAACGATTACCTTGCTAATTTATCGACAGAATTCAAGCAGCACTGATTACTTCTTGTGAAAGTGTTCACAATTGATTGCTATAGACAAAACTTGAAACTCTACGACGAATTACAATGATGATGATGATGATGATTTCTGTTTATCTAAAGCCCAGTCCCCCGTCCCCACCCTTTTCTTTTGTTTAATTTTTTGGTCTATGCCAAAAATAATGGGAGGCGGCAGTCTGAAGTGAAATCTTAATATTTTTCTGTACTTGTGAACTCTTTTCCATTCTTTCCTTCTCTGTTGTTTTTGTTGTATTCTTTTTTTGTGCTTGTAGCTAAGTAAGATATTTCTTGTCCAAAAATCAATGTCTGTTTTTTAATTTCTTTTTTTTCGTTTTTTTTGTATACTACCATGTATTCACTTTATCGCTTGTTTATTTGTCGCTGCTATGGTGCTGCAGTCACCTTCACCACCACCTGTCTCTGAATGTTTATTTTTTGTTTTCTCTCATACTTTGCTTTTCTCTGTGGAATTTTCTTCACTAGAGAAAATTCTGTATGCTCTTTGTGTGTCTGTGTGCGTGTGTGCACAAACAAACGAACAAACAAAACAAAAAACAATCATCTTATCTCTGAGTGAGTGAATGATGAGTGTATATTAAAAAAAAACAAATCTGGTTGTATCAATCACAAATCCAAGGTGCAATGGATTATTTGTTTAAACTTAGTCACAAAGCTTCTTTTTCATCTCTACTAAGTCGTCTATTGAAAAATGTTGATGTCTATAGTTGTAAAGCCGGCGGGGGTGGGGGGGGGAGGCGTTGGTCAACCAGTTCTCAACAGTCCTCTTTTCAGCTGGTGTCAGGATTGCTCTCATAAGCCTTCATCTCATCTCCTCCTCCATGTCACCGTCGAACACACGTCCAACTCGTCGTCGTTCCCCCATTCTACCTTCCACTCGACAGCCTAGCACACGATGTGTGTCATTCGACGGTTTCCTCGGCGTGCATCCAATCCAGTCGGTCATTTGATCTTCAGTATGGAGCCAGAGAAATGTTCCTGTTGGTGATAGTCTGCAATTGGCCTGCCTGTTGGAAATGCTTTCCGTGATCTTTATAGAAGAACTGACTGAAAATGCAAACCTTTATCTGTATGCTGAGTGCAGTAGATTTTCACCCTGATTTTGGAGTGCTGAAGATCCGTCTTGGCTTTCCGATGGTGGTTTCGACATCTTCAACGGTTCCTCCTGTAGTCCAAACAATGCCTCCTAAATAAATGAAGAAAGCAACCTCTTTCAAGTTCCTTCTGTTGATAGTGACTGGTCCTTGTTGTTGTTGGCTGTCCTCATCACCTCCGTCTTGTTTATGTTTACTTGAATTCCTGTCTTTGCTGCCATCTTGTTGGTTTTCGCATGTAAGTCATGGAGTTTGTGTAGCATTAAACATGAGTCATCTGTGAAATCCAGATCTTCTAGAGTCTTTTTATCGGTCCAATATATTCCTGTTTTCTCGCTCCCTGCGTACAGTGTGCTACATGACCCACTATTCCACCACAGTTAGCAGTATCATCGGTGGTAGTAGACAGCCTTGTATTGCTCCTGTCTTCACTTCAAAGGCTTCACCGAGTTTGCCGTTATGGATCACTTGACATGTGGCATTGTCGTATACCTGTTGAATGAGGTTGATAAAGATTTTCGATACTTCCGGGTCAATGCTGTCTAGATCGATGATTTTCAGGTAGATTTTAAGTCATAATTGGATCCATGTTTAAACGTAATCATCCGCATGATATATGCATAACTTAACAACATGCTGTAAATCTTTACTTCTGATTGATAATAAAGACTAACTCTGAGGTGATGCTGACTATCTATAAGGTGAATTTTCACTAGCCACCTTAAATAAGCATAGATTTACTCCGATCTTCCCTAGTTGAGTTTGTGAGCATTTGATTGATTGATTTCAAGGTGGATATTGTTCACAACTTTAGTCAATCCGAAAATTATGGTTTCATCATATTTTTGTATACTCTAGTAGTTTTTGACGCAATTGTACCCGTTACGAAACCCAGGATAGTAAGTTTATGGAGCTAGCACCCTACCTTCTGTTCATTAGTTTTAAATGGTCTATATTATTCGAAATCATGTTAAGATACTCATCGTAGTATCATAGTCTTGAGTTTTATCCTTCATAAGGTGAGTGAAGTAGGTGGCCAGTGTTATATATTCTTCAATGATTCTTGGTAATTTCTACCTATGTTCTTTCAAAGAAAGATCTTAGTACTGTAGCTAGTGTGCTGTTTTATCTGCTCCATATTGGTGACTGCTTTCATTGGTACTAATAATGTAAAGTAGTACTTGAAGGAGGTAACAACCGTATTTCTGATAGGTGACATGCCACTTAAAATGTATATAGACTTTGTATTTTGTCATTGTATCTTGGGAAGGGGACATAGGGCTTCATGGTCATTGAGAGTGGAAGACATCAAAAAACTAGATGTCTTTGATCAGAAATGCCTGCGTTCTGTTTCCCTTATGAAGTGGTATAGTAGGGTAAGCAATACTGAGGTCACGTACCAAGTACTAGAGAAGGAGGGGAAATCAATCGACAAGGCTGTGAAGCTACATCGATTGAGATGGTTAGCACATGTGTTACTAATGCCTAGTCATCTCCTTCTTCGACGGGCAATGTCAGATGACATAGGGTCAGTTTGGAAAAGAGCCACTGGTGGCCAAACCAAAACATGGCTTAATCAGTCAATGAAATCCATGACCGTTAGTTTAAGCCAGCCAGTCATGTAGGAAGGTGTAGACTTCCTGACTGGTTGGGGTCCTCGAGACGGTAAAGACGAATGGCTGGAGAAAATTAGCGATATGGCTCAAAATCGTTCTCAGTGGCGAAGATGAAACCACTCCTTGTGACTTATAATTTCAAATAAAAGTATATTGTTCTTCGTTATTACTATTCCTTTTGTCTCATGTTCCTGTCTACTGTATCCATTTTGCGTTTGTTCTCTTGCTTTGTGTGCTGCGTGGAGGGAAAGTGGTAACTTGAACTGCTGCACATCTGTGCAAAATTCTATGTTGGAAACAGACATATGGCTTCAACATCATATCCCTGCCGTATTCTGCTGTCAGCTCCAACTGGCTTAGCCACTGCTCACAAGCTTTCATTTCCTCCTACGGTGTCGATGCCATCCCGGGATGCGCAAAGCAGCGCATTCCATTAGGCTACTATCCTAGGGCCGCCTGCCGTGTAATGTTACTTAGTGGTCTCCTTAGTGTATGCACAACCCATTTCCTTCTGCATATTTGTTGAGCAATATGTTCTTAGCCAGTTTGCTATCCATCAGAGGTCCTTGGTTCTTAGCCTTTCCGACTGATCATCTCAGCTCTAGTACTGGTCTTGATGAAAGTTCGCAGTAGCCTCCAAAGCCTTAGGATGGTCGGGGGTGGGTGTCTTGCGCTGCGGGCTAGCCACCCCTCCGTACACCTCTTGAAATGCTCCCATATGACCGTGCGTCTTACATAGCCTCTCCTGAGGAAGTCCTACTCACTGCCGTCACGTGGCGGAGGTGTTTTTCACCGAAGTGAGAGGGCAAAAGCGGATGCTCGGCGCTCTTCACCGAGTTGACTGTCCATTGGATGACAGTCTAGGGGAGATGGCTAAACCCTGATTCCAAACCTCCAACGACTGGCGTATGAAGCTCACTGGAGTTCACCGGCAGACGTATGGACAAAGAGCTTATTGGATGCCCTGGATGTCTGGCCCCATTCAAAAAGGCGTATGAACCAGTCACCGGCTGCCAATGGATAGTGGACTCCCTACTCCACTCCTACTGCCTTGTAGGTCACACTTGGCTGTGTAAAGGCTAGAGCTGCACTCTCAAACAAAAGGCCGAGCGATGCTGGGGACATCACTCGTACCCAATTCCCATGAAACTTCATCAACTCTCTTACAAACATTCGAGATGTTCATGAAGCCGGTTCATCCTCCCGTAGGAGATAGCCGAACTAAAGAAGAAGAAGAAGAAGTAGCCCATAGCGATTGTTGACGCGCCAAGTCTTTATAACAAATAGAAGTATTGATTTGAAATTGCTATTTAAAATTTGGATCTTCTTCCTTGTGCTGTAGATCTTCCCACTGATATCAAAGTAGTGAACGCTTATCTTACTTTTCCAGTCTGGAGTTCGACGTTTTTGTCTGTGCCACCTGTAGTTGCAGAGGTAAGTGAAAGAGACGACTTTATTTAGATTGGATATCTGCAAATTTAGGCTACATGACGTACAAATTATCTAAAAAATCCCTCAGGATCCAGTTCACCATAATAAGGAAGATCAGTGGTAATACTAGACAGCTTTATATTACTCCCGTGACACTTCGATGAGCTTTCTATTTTGAATTTCGCCATTTGTGACATCATGTCATAGCTTTTGAATGAGGCTTCTGAATGTTTGCGGTAATGGACCTTTTAATATTGAAACGGTTTCCTAATTGAAAACATTTATTTCCCGATACGAATTTAAAACAAACAACAAAGGTTAATAAAGCAGGATTTAATGATGGATTCATCAAATTTCGGTTAGAACTCGTCAGGTGAACACTCTACTTAAACGGATATATATATATATATTTATATACTTTTGAAATTACATTGGGAGATGCAAGACTGATAAGGAAATAAACTACATTGAATTAGTCATGCAGAAAGACAGGT